CATCATAAAAAAAAATTCAAGATTCTGAAATATCAATTCTTCTAGTGCTACAGGACCCATAAAAAAAAGAAGGAATACCTGTGACTACAACTATTAATCACATCCTCATCAACCACTAAAATCAAAGATAAAGAAATTAAAGATTTCTATCAACTTTTCCAGTCTGAAGTTGATTATTGTAATCATCTGGATCAATAATAACTGGTTGAAAACAAAAGAACTGGTGGTTGAGAAATACAATCTTCACGAAACAAATTAGAGCAGAGACCAAATGATAGAATGAGGTAAAATTAATAAAGTATTAATTGAAAACTTTTTTAAAGCCATAAAATGTGGACTAATACGGACCTCACTTGATGGAATAAACAGGAATCAAAATGCATGAAGTTCAACAACAGCAATCAAACAAGGCCATGTACGGACTATGGCACATTTTATTAACAAAGTTAAAAATATGTCTACAAAAGCCAAAGACAATCTTGAGTGTATGTCACCTGAATTTATATTGGGGGGAGACTAAAAAATAGATTTGATGCATTGAACACTAATGAGCAAAGATCAGATGATAGAAAAGGCATCACCTATAAAGAAACCAAAAGGTAAAAGAAAATAAAGACAGGAAAGACTAAAATAATGTACACCAATGTTCATAGCAGCATCATTCAAAATTTTAAGAACAGCCCAAATGTCCAATTACAGTAAAATTGATTGCGAAACTGTGGTACATTCACAGAATGCAAATCTATGCAGAACTCAGAAGCAATGATTTTGGGGAAAAAGAACAAAAACCTGTAAACAAAACGACCTAACTTGGTTTAGGAGGACAAATGCTGCACAAGAGTATTACTATAAAAACAAAAGGATAACTAGTAAAATGTGTGTGGGCTCAATGGGGGAAGGGTGGGCGGGGAAAATCATAGGGTTGGACAATTTGATGAGTGGAGGAAGAGGGTAATAGAAATGGGAAAGATCTGGTGTGGCCCTGAAAAGATGGAGTAATGGTGGGCGTAATTCAATCGGGATTAATTTTATAATACACAATGTATGGGACCGATTTTTATGAAACACAATGTGAATGAAGAATAGGGTGAAACATGCAGACATAAATGACAGAGGAAAGACTAAAATGAGTATTAGAATAAATGATTAAGAAAGAAAGAAAAGTCAAACAGAAGATTTCCAAGGACAGTTCAACAAGGAAACAACATTACAGTAAAATGTGCTAAGATCTAAAATTAAGAAACCAAAGCAGAAGAACTTAACTGGCATTTCTCAGGCAGGAGAGACTTGCAAGCAAGCCTTGGCATTGCAATACTGAAAGTTTCCCCAGAATAAGAGATACATCATTGAAAAAAAGGATGGGGGTGGGGTGTTGGTAGGTAAGGTAGGTAATTGTGCAACAATGAGTATTTTTTTTTAATGAAAATAAGCTTTATTACCTCAAGTAATAAATACATACAAAGATGCCAACACTGTGAGTCTTTTTCTTCCCCCGATGGTGTGTGATCAACATTAACGCAAAAATATGGAACGCTTCACGAATTTGCGTGTCATCCTTGCGCAGGGGCCATGCTAATCTTCTCTGTATCGTTCCAATTTTAGTATATGTGCTGCCGAAGCGAGCACAACAATGAGTATTTTTTTAAAAAAAGAAGTGAATTGGGGAGTAAAATGTGCAATGATGAAAATCTAACTTCTCTGTGTTAAAATCAGTTACAATATTAAAAAAAATACTTAAGTTCCCTGCAGAACAATGAACAGAGGCCGCAGCAAAAAAAAGATGAAAGGAATAATATTCGTACCAACAAGAATTAGTACCAACCCATTTCAGGATATAACATATGATGAAGAACAAGCGGCACCAAAGAATTAAGTTTAAGATGCACTGAAGGTATTGGCAAAAATACAGTTTTAAAGTTGACAAGAACATCCATCGAGGTGCTTCAATATGGTTACCTGACCTACTAACTGCACAAGATATACACTAGTTCACATTTTTTTAAAAAGTGATACAACAGAGTATAGGAATCATCAAACAACATCATATACAAGTAAAATCTTGATTACTAAAAAGTGGCTGGAGGAATAGAACATGCAACTGCCAGAAATTCATGTTGAATTCAGAGGTAGTAGAATCAGCAGAATCACCGATGTCAGATGTATCCTGACGGAAAGCAGAAAATAGAAAATGGTTCATGTGTTTTACTGACTAGACAAAGGCATTTAATGGTGTGATTAATAAGATGTTATGGGCAACATTAAGAATGAGAATTTTAGAACTGTACTTGTGCTCATATAAAACCTATACAGAGAACCAAGATGGTGGCGGCAGAGAAAACAGCATAAAGAACTGGAAGAGCAAGCAGCAAGCTGCATAGAAAAAGGCCACCACAGTCCACCATAGTCCTCAGATTATTGATACTTGAACAATTAAATAGTTGATTACTGGTCTGCAATATGGATCAAGGCTTAACATCAAGAGAACAAGGATTCCTCCAAAAAAGAACAGGCGAGTCCCATGGCTCCCAGCCCCCCACTGCCGAGCCCACACCGCTGCCGCAGCTCCATGGGGCCTCTGGAGCTGGACCCCAGGTCCCCTCACCTGGGATAGATGGTGGGTGCCAGGCACCACTCCTGGTACAGTACAGCCTCCTCCACAATGCCACAAAATAAACTTATTATAAAAGAAATTATTGGATCCAAGATGGCGGCGGTAAGAGATGCAGTGTGAGGAGGAGGAGGAGATCCAGCGGCAAGCTGCATTGAAACAGGCAACGCATTTTATGAACAGCCAAGCAGTTGACTGCCAGCCATCAATATGGATGGACTGAAGATCAACATCAAGAGGACAAAGATTTTCGAAAGAACATGGACCTGAACCCTGAACCCAGTTCCAGAGACAAAAGGGAAATATAACTGCCAGCAGAGGAGGACAGAGACTCAGGGTTCAGGCAGCCATCACCACTGGATCCACCTTGGCAAATATTTTGCAGTCCAGAGGGAAGTAAACGTCAGGAAAATATCTTCTAACTGAACAACGAAGGCATGCAGCTTCAACCAAGGACCACCAGTAAGGTGTTAAAAGTGGGCTCCCCTCCCCCCTTCACATCAATACCCTTGTTTAGCATGAAGAAGTTAGAGAATTCGTACCCCATTCCCAAATGAGAAACCCACAAGTGAATAAGGCAATATTTTTGTTTAAAAAAGTTTGATCACCACTGGACTATGCTTACCATTATCCTGCCTCCTCTGGTACCCACTCTACCTTTCTCATTTCCTTCGCTCACCCCCCTCAGCCCTGCCAACCAAATTGTGTAGCCCTGTGATTTCATCCATGCCCATTCTCACTCTTCTGGTCCCAACCCTCACCCCCTTGTATCCACATACATGTTTTTCACAATAAAGGGGGAAAAAACCCCAACCTATACATAGACTAAGAAAGAATAGAACAAGTAGATGCTGTAGGAAAAGTGTACAACAGGGCTGTATCCTTTCTATCTATACAATATGTATACTGGGGAAAATCTAAAAAGTAGAGATCTATGAAGATCAAATACTACAGCATTCAATATGGATTATACTTCAACATCAAGAAAAGAAAAAGAAATAGGCAAATTAAGCTAGATGATAAGAAGATTCAAGTTATCAGTTATTTCATTTTACTTCAATCAATAATGAACACCTATAGGAGGAGCAGTCCAAGAAATCTACAATTATTGATTTCTTGTGCTGTCTAGGACCTCTCCAACAAGCCAAAGAGCAAGGACATTAAAGACTAAGGTGGGCCTAATTCACATTATGCTATTTTTCAATTGCTTAGTATTCATCTGAAAGTTGGCCAATGGATATAGAAGACAGGAAGTGATGAATCTAATTGTGGTGTTGGTAAAAGAGTATTGACTATCCAAAAGAAAAACAAATATGTTTTGAAGGAATGCAACTCGGGTGTCTGCTTAGAGGTAAAGAAGGTGAAACTTTAGACATGTTGTCAAGAGGCCAATCCTTGGAAACAGATGCCATGTTGGGAGAAAATGAAGGGGTCAGGGAAAGAGGTCAACTGTCAAGGAGCTGAACTGATACACTGATTGCAAAAATGCACTTGAGCCTGGCAGAGATCTTGAGGATTGTGTAGGACAGGGCAAAGTTTCAATTTCTTGGTCAGAGGGTGCTATCAGTTGTATTCTACTTGAACACACCAAACAATTACCTATTCTGTTAATTTTGCCATTAATTACTGGCTATACATCAGATGCTCACATTCGCTGACTTTAAAAAAAAAGTAAAAGAACAAAATGATCACTAGTACTGAATGCACATGTGAATGAATTAGTAGTAACTCTTTCAGGAGCATTTCTGCCTTCAGAATTAGAAAACTAGTTTGTGACCATTATCTCACCTCATGCTTTATTATAATCTCGATATAAAATCACTGAAACACAAGGAATGTAGCAAAACGCCAGTAAGATACACTTGTCTTCTAAGTCAAAGAACTATTAAGCACTGCAGAAGGTAATTTTTTTAATCTGTTTAATGACATCCTAATTCTGAAGATTCCATCATCTAGCATATTAGCTTATCTAATTCGAAAGAAATAAATTTTGTTTTCACATTATTACTTCTGGTGTAAAATATTTAAAACTTCTAAAAAACTTAACAAGGAAACATGTCACTCATGGCAAGATCCAAGTCAGTAAACTTGGTTAGGTAAACAGTGGGAAACTCTGGGAGAAATCTGCTATGAAGGACTGAGGTGAAGAGATAATTGCTATGTCAGAGAAATGTTTCTCTAGAACCTAAATACAGGGACAGACATGTACAAGACATGTAGCAAATGATTAATTCATTAGAATGACAAAGTTCTGGGAGGGGGGGGCTGGGGGGATCCAATATGATCTATCCAAATAGCAATTATGGCATAATGATGAAATGCACGCAAAGACTAAGTTAAAAATTATATTTGTATCAATAATAGATTTTAAAATTAAATTCTTCATACTTACAGGTCCCATAATTGTGGCTTGCCAATGAAACACTAAAAGAAAAAAAAGGCAGAAAAAACCAAAAGACTCTTGTTATTACTTAAAAACACTTAAGTTCTTTTGAAATTATCTATAAAAACCAACTTGAAAATTACTTACTATCATCTCCAACTGGACCTGCAGAACATTGCGCTGGAGGATCGCGAGCCAAATCACTAAGTTCCTACAGAGAGAAAAAGATGAATCATGTAATCTTAATATACACTCCGTCTTCTCCCTCTTTCTGGAACATCTCTTTTCTAATTAAATCGCCTTTACTTGCATCTTTTTCCTCTCACACACCCACCAATCCCACAAACACATATACGTACACACCCCAAAATCAATGAACCAACTGGTTCCAGTAAAATTTCTCCCCCCCCCCTTTTTCAGGGGAAAGCGTGAATGTAGTCTACTACTACTAACACCAATTATGCAGTCGAGTTTCCCACATGTGAGGAAACTGCAGGGGTCAAGCACATACAGAGTACAATGGATATACCTCACACCCTGGGAAAACCACCTTCAGGATCATGGTATTTCCGTTGCTTTAAAGGCATACATATCTCAATGGACATATGCAGAGACATCCCTAATTAGCTTAAGAGTTCATAAAAGCATAAGGAAATATTAACAAAAGCTTTTACAAATCCAAACAGTTTTAACAGGTCTTAAATTCTTTGTTCTAGGCACTTCACCGAAGACGACATTCAGATGGCTAACAAACACATGAAGAAATGCTCAAAATCCCTAGCCCTAAGAGAGATGCAAATTAAAAC